TTTAATTCATTTTTTATTCTACTTGAGTGACACATACCTCCAGCAGTCCTAGTTTCTACAAATACATATCTGTTAGAATCCACATAGTCATTTCTAGCATGTAGTCGAAATATGTAAATATCTCCCGGTGTAAGCCCAGTCACTTCCACCACCATCATCTTGCCCGTGTCTGCATAGGTCTCGTAGACAGTCCAAATTCTTGTGCCAAACTGATGATGATCAAGCACAAACATCTGAGGGCGTCCTCCATTGAACCCAGGCAACCACGATAACCATACCGACGACGTTGTTGCATTATCCAGATCTCTAAACTGTGTTGGTGTCTGTGGTGGCCCTTACAACAAATTGATATGAAAAGGAGTGCTATCATAGATAAATCAGAGATAGGTATTGGAAGACATGAACAAGTGCATCCTGAAATAGTGAATGATAAATCAGAATGTTGCAGCTCACCTTCAGACACTATGCTGACTGTGTATGCCACTGAACCGCCTTCTCCATTATTAGCTGTCAGACTGTAGTCCCCGAAGTCCTGCTGTTTGAGGTAAGTAAGGTGTAGTCTGGCAGTGACTGAGATGTCTGAGACAGGGCTGGAGGAACCAGTGAGGTCCTGGCTGGTGCTGGTGGTTCTACTCCAGGTGAATGTAGGAAGGGGGTAGGCCAGGACTGACACAGACACGTTCACGTTACCACCCAATCTAGCGGCGTATTTGAGTTGCTGGGCAACTGGCCCATCTATTCGAGGGGAACCTGGTTAAATGTCGACAACATATGTAATGGCTCTGGAACAAATAATATCCGTTGAGGGCAGAATATTATGAAAACCGAATGTATCGATTATGTAGAATTATTCATCAGGACACTTTCGTCGATATTTAGCTTGGCAGTATCAACATTAGAGATATGATAACACAAAAATACAAGCCTACTGTAGGCCGGCCATATACTCAACAGTGTTATTATCATAGACAAAGTTGTGACATAAACCATCAATGGAAATCATCACAACACTACCATCCTTATAGAATATCCAAACAGATTACATTTGACCAGCAACTCCACCCTCTGGCTGACAGGTGCCCCGATGTTGTTAGTGGCAGTACAGGAGTAGTTCCCTCTTTGTCTACAGTCTGCTGACTCCAGTCTATATTCTGCTGTCAGGGAGTTATCTGCCCTTGTCAACTCCTCAGTTCCATTCAGTAACCTGATGAGTGACCCTGGGTTACTATCAACCTGGCATCTGAAGGTCACTGGATCCGACTCATTAACTGTCACTGAACCACCGAGAGAGTTGGCAGTAAACATACTCACTGTGGCTGGATCTGAAAATATAACAACGTGAAAACCTATGGTTCGCTTTACAATTATGGAGATAATGCACAACCAAGTATTTTTTACTTTACACTATGCAAAAGGATTGTGATGTGTAGACTATATACTTCCACTGAACATCAATACTGACTGTAACACTGTCACCAGTGTATTATATATACTTACACAGAACATCAACACTGACTGTAACAGTGTCACCATTATAGACTATATACTTCCACTGACTGTAACACTGTCACCAGTTTAGATTATATACTTACACTGAACATCAACGCTGACTGTAACACTGTCACCAGTGTAGACTATATACTAACATTGAACGTCAACACTGACTGTAACACTCTCACCAGTGTAGACTATATACTTACATTGAACATCAACACTGACGGTAACAGTGTCACCAGTGTAGACTATATACTTACACTGAACATCAACACTGACTGTAACACTGTCACCAGTGTAGACAATATACTTACACTGAACATCAACACTGACTGTAACACTGTCACCAGTGTAGACTATATACTTACACTGAACATCAACACTGACTGTAACACTGTCACTACTCCCGTGTATATTAGAAGGCTGACATCTGTAGGAGCCTGTCGTAGATCTGTCAGCTTGTCCCTGGAGCATGGCTCCACTGCTGAAGGCTGCTCCATTGTGTAACCACCTGTAGCTACAACCGGGTTTACAGAGGGCGGAGCAGTTGATTGATGGAAGAGCCTGGTGTTCTGTCACAGTGTAGGAGGAGGTGGAGGGGGTCAGGGAGATCTGGTACGGTCCGTCTGGAATACATGGCACTGTGACACTGATACCGTGATACAAGATATAATTATACCTCTAATGACACACATGAGGAAAACAATGATGAGTTGATGATATTCGGAAAAGCAAGTTGTAAACTGTATGACAACAAACCATGCATTTCATAGCAGCATGTACATAAACGAGCGATTGTTTAAACGTTCCACGGTTTGGTGTGGCTATCGAAATATAATTGTTCAGCATGATATATACATACTTTGCTCATCATTTGTTCATGGTTATGACATTTTGTGTCTGTTCACGACGACAGGCTGTGAGACAAAATTAAAAAGTATGGGGAAACTTGACAGCGGTCTGTTTCTGTTGATATTTACAAACAAATCTAATTATCCTATGAAACGCACGTGATGCTGGCAAACGGTCAATCTCTCGTGGAGTCTGTGATTCAACTGAAATTCGGAAAGCATGAATTTGTGAAAACTAAAATAAGTTGCTTAGATAGATTGTTGCTTTCTGCTGTAAACTCCACCAATCCAAGGGTGGTCTAGAAGCCTGGTAGTCAAAGGGTTCGCTCGTCACTTCAAATACCCTGGTTCGCTTCCCGACATGGGTACAATGTGTGAAGCCCATTTCTGGTGTCCGCCGCAGTCATATTGTTGGAATATTTCTAAAAGCAGCGTAAAACCATACTCACTCACTCCACCAATCCATATATTAAGAATTCAATATCATCGACATAGAAAATATCTGAGGCTTGTTTTGTGTTTTTGATCACGAGGAAGGTGCAGGTGAGAAACCCCACGCAATATGACATATTAATTCAAACTTTAATATGTATATACAGATTAGTATCAAGTGTATCCCGATAGATGCTATTTTCCTTACGAGAGTATTTCACAACGAATCCATCGTGCAGCATCGTGTTTGAAAGTGGTATCTAACGGGGAAGAGTTTTGTGACATATTTCTAACTTAAACTTTGTAAATTCTAAGTTGAAAAGAAATCGACCAAGGTAAAAGGGTATCGTGTGAATATATATATAACTTTCGTAGCTGATGATTCGATAATGGGCTCTTCTCTCAAAGTGCAACCTGGAAATATACAGTGCAAAGCTTTCTCTGAGATCGATTGTAAGAAATGATAAGATCAAAATTCTGTAATAACGTTAATAATAGCATAAACACTAACATTACCAAGTGAGGGACATCGGCTGTCAACGGGAAAATGTAGCCTCGTTGTATCAATGTCGGCTATATGTATGCGAGAGGAGGGCCGAATACACGATCGACACATCAGTCAATCACTTTTGTCATACACAATTGTACACGAGTCAGCAGTTAGTTTAGAAGTTATGAGGTGAGGTGAAATGTGGTTTGACGTCTTGTCCAGGACTATTGCACTTATAAAACGACGTGCTGGCAACGTGTGTCTGTGTGTGTCTGGCTGATTGTACTTGTCCGGACAAATGCCGAGTGTGTTGTGCTGGTCAACTGAGATGCAGCAGTTTAACATGAATACTCCACTCAGACACAATATATTGGCCCTGAGCCGACCAGTCCTTGTTTCAGCCACTAAATTTTCGAGCGCCTGGCGGGGTACTGTCTTTTAATTTATTTTTTCTGTGACGCGACCGGGAATCGAACCCACAGTCTTCAGATCTTCGGCGGACGTTATGTCCACTGGACCACAGAAGCGATATTTTTGTAGTAATGAAATTGATTGTAATTATTGTTTGGCATCACCAAAAACGGTGCACTAAGACAGGAGATTGCATCGATTGACATTTCTAGTTGCTGTCCATTTTGTCCATATGGCTTACTCTTATTTACAAAATGAAGTTGAAAGTAATAAGTATGATGAATGTTGTGATGATGGTTCGATATAACGTATTGTTTATTAGTCATGCTCTGAAGCGTTATGCAACAACAATGCTTGTAAAACTGCAATAAAAAAAATATATGCAATAGATCACAGGCGACTGAAAAATCCAACCGACAAATTCAAATATATATGGAAACAATGCAGCGAATTTTGAGATGAATGCACTGTATGCCTTGTTTCGTGAATGTTAATAGTTATTTCTCGAGTAGGTTATCGTCTGAAAGTAGAGTGAACATTGTGTACGCCATTCCAACCATCAGCTGATGACTACAAATAGTCCGGACATGGTGTTTTAATACCATGAGGAATACAATTTTTTTTTTATTTAAACGGTTATATCTCCGAAGGGTATATAATTAATATATATTCCTTAACATTGAACAAAATGTTACTTTATAATATCTTCATAATAGCCTAACCTAAGGTTCGACACATCAGGGGAAACATCCAGCCTGTGTAGGTGAGTCATGTCTTGTTGACTATAACATTTCATAAAAGTGAGTTTGTATACTCTTTTGATGTATATATTATATATATTCATATATTTATTTATTTGGGAGCCCTTCGATATAAACAAAGCTAGTGAAATAACTCATCACATTCAACTAGTTATTTCAACAATTCAGTGAGTGATAAGAGGAAAGTGTTTAGTGTGGATGAAGAAGATTAGTAGTAGATCAGAGTAAGAGCAGGTGAAGTGTACAGTTTCACAGTGTTACCGACGCCTCCATTCGAATAACCCGCTGATGACAAGGAATAGACCCACAATGACTTTTTCTACCAGTGGGTGAGTAACAAATTAATTTAGTAGATCCCTTATCTACCAATGGCATGCGAACAGTCAGACAATATATCAATAGCTAATGACACTGACATTCCCTTCCGGTTTCGTCGAAGAAATACTTATTTGTATTTTATTATTGCATGTTTTGTAACTGTTCATATTGACAATTGATGATTGAACTTTACATAAATCAGTGGTGTGAGACATTTGTAAGTAACGTGTTTACAGTACTTACACTGAGGCTCCATGTTGTACCCCTGGCTCCACTCTGACTCCAGACCCTGACTTTCTCTGGCTCTACATCTGTAGCTGTGACTGTCCCGGGAACTCACTGTGTAGGTGTAGGAGGAACCAGGGGAGGTAACTGTGATGTTAGTGTTGTCACGCTGCCAGGTGTAGGTCAAGGTCAGGCCATGGTCTGACGGGACAGTGGTAGAGGTGGAGCTACAGGTCAAGGTCACTTGCTGGTTGTAGACAGGAGTTGTGGACACTGGACGGCCAGGAGTGGTGGGTTTGCCTTTCAAAAGACTTCATGTGTAAATTAGGAGCTTGTACATGTATACAGCTTAATATATTTAAGACACTAGTGGCGTGAGTGGTTTGGTGAATGCTTAAGTGTGGCTTGGCCATGTTAGCTATCGTAACACCAGCTATGGATGGATAACAATCTTCATATTGACAAATTATAATGAATCGTAATGAAGTCTTATCATCCACTCTCAAAGTTAAGCATTCGTGAGAAGGTTGTGTCTTCTACACATTTAATCATCTCATGAATCTAACAGAACTAGTGTGACGTCAACGAAGATTGCTACATGCTCAACATTGATGTTGACCAGCGTTATGACTAACTCATATGGTTATATACTTTCAACAACAAAATAACGAGTCTTTAAAACGAATAATCATTGATTGACAAGATTACAATTCCTCGACTTCATCAGACACGATGGTCAAATCAACAGATAAGATACAATAACGATCTTTAATGTGCTAAAACCTTTTCTGTTGTGTGTTCAGATGTTGTGTCACGACGGTTGAAATTGCAGTACTCACCAAGTATTGAGACATGGTAATATGAAATTTACCCAACAAAAGTTTAGATAAAGTCTTTGAATAAATAAAGAATATTCTTGCTCAACTGGACACATGTAACATTAAGTTTTATACAGTTTTAATACATCTGTCTATCCTTCCAGTACAAATAAATCAGTTTTAACTTATTTTATTCATTTTGTGCATATGTACGTGCAACAAACATCAAGAAACCTGTATTTTAAGAAGTTTAACATCATTAGGACAGACTAGATTTTCCCTACCAGTATGCTTTGTCTTAATTTATGTAATCATTTAAAGGCATTGTTTCAGTTATGTCTTATCGATACATTGTGCACTTGTTTGTAGGCATGAACAGAGTTATACTGGACATGCGTTGCGGATACGCTGTAGCTAGTGGATTTGTTAAAGCCCGTGTTTAGAATTAATGCATAAGCTCAACATTTGCCTTACAGAAAGTAGGTCAGTAAACTTTCAATTGGTTCCAGATAATTAACAGTTGGAACAATAGAGTAACGTCATAGATGTATCTTAATTTGGGCTCCAAACCACCGTAGCGACTACGTGCGTCAGACAACTTTCCCGGAATCACGTCAACTCTCCTTTATAAAGTACCAAGCACAAACACACAGAGGCGCATTACGACCATGAACTCTCACGAATGTATGCATTTATTAAAAGTGAGTCCACAATGAGCATGGTCTACAATTTCGGTTTAAAGTGTATTGGATCTTAAGGAAACTAAGTTCTGCGGAAATGGCCGGGGTAGAATATCATACCACAGTCACCCATTATGCACCTTCTATATCATCCGACCAGATACCACTCGTTCATACAAATAAATATTTCGTAATGGATATAATACTGGTGGTTGATATAACAACGATAATTGAATAACTTCTCAACTAATATTTTGAAGTAATTTAAGGAAATGTGACGTGAACTGATTTCTTATTTTACACTGAACAAGTGAACATAAACAAATGACAACTGTTTCACTATAATTAATCATATGTTGATATTGTCATTGTACATGATGCCTCTAACAATATAGATACGAGGGTGTGTTGAGGTGATGACAATGTTGCATTAGAACACACGTGTATTCTTTAGTTTCATAAGGATGTACATTCATACACATTTTTCAGTTACTATGCTGTTTACTGGCTCTGAATACACGCGGGTTTTCAAAATCAATCAGTAAAATAGATTCGATATTACCACTCATGATATCACAACATACATTTTCCTAAAGAACGTGGCAATGCACTAAATGCACAGGTAACGAAGTGACTCCTGGGGTCGGCTCAGTAGGATTGAATGTTGTTTGTTTATTTACCTATCTGTTTGCTGTTTACCCCTGTCATCAATATATCAACACTCTATAACTGATTGAGTCAGGGTGCACTTCTCTGTCAGAATTGTGTCATCTAGGCGAGTTAGACTATGTCAGCTGCACACACGCCTTGTGGATTTCTCAAGAGCGGTAACAGTTTAGAAAATGTCCTCCAAAATGTATAGTGTCCACTCATACATGACAATCACTTGGTTGCCGTCAATGGGTGAGCTTGTGTTCGTGATCGGGAGGGTGGTTTTTGCTTGGGTTTAACGATTTGTAACCATTTCTCTGTTTGGGGGTGAGCGATGCACGGGTTTTAACCAGAATTACTTTGCATGCAGTGGACGTTCATCTACATTACAATCGTTTGTTACGTGCGACATCTAATATTATTTGAGTGAGTGTCGTTTTAATCCGCTTTTAGCAAATATCACGGCGGGGGAAACCAGAAGTGGGCTTCACACATTGCACCCATGTGGGTTATCGAACCCGGACTTCCGGGCGGAGGTTTTAACTACATGGCTACCCCACCGTGCCTGATATTATTAGAGACAAGGAATGCAGGTATTGTCACAGAATAACAACTCGTTCATTCAGTTGTCTATTTCATAATCAGGACAACAGTCAAGTGATGAAAAGTTTGTTATTTTTCAAACTGCCCTCTTGGTTCAGTTTTTATTTCAAGGAAAGCTTATGTTTCCTTAAACACATTATTTGTGCCACCTAGTGTGTATCATAAGTAGGTCCTCATATGAATTGAACAATGTAGAGCAAAGCACCAATGGAGGATATACTGATACCCCGGTGTGACAACCGTCCTAGTGAGTGAGGGTTCTATACCTTATTCAAAACACGGACAATTGTGTTTGCTTAACATTCATATTTGAGACCCAAATTTATTTTTTATCTCAATATGTTTATGGAATACAAAGAGGACTAAACTACGTGAACGAAACGTCAACTTATCAAAAACTAAGTAGCCACTCACCCAGGACAACAAGTTTCTGTCCACAGTTCTGTATCACAGTAGCCCCTCCAGCCCCACACGTGTATGTCCCTGCATCAGATGTCTGGATGTTGCTGAGGGTGAAGGTGACATTCCTGGCTGCTATGTTCCCCTGGTACACCAGTCTACGTGAGTAGTTGCCAAACACAACATATGCCCCAGCAGCTGTCACTGCAAACACAGCAGCACCAGCAGGACCGACAGTGTAGAAGCTGACACCTGACCCCAGACTTCCCTGTGCAATCTCCCAGCTGAACCTGGCTGTGTCAGACACTGCAGACAACACTGGACTGGCACTGGGTGCACCTGACACAACACCTGCAGGAAGAAGATATTCGAATATGCAGCAGGGAGTATGATGTATCACCGTGCAATAGGCCAAGTAGAATCATGTTCTGATTGACCTGTTACGGTGATTCAAGGAAGGTTTTAAGTTTTCAGGGTAATATAAGTATATAGTAAAATATACAGTCATTACACGTGTGGGTGATATGACAGACATACCTGCTATCACATATAACACAGTAGCAGTAGCTAGCTTCATCATTCCTGTTGTCTGGCACCTCGGGGAAACCTGGAATGAAGGTTCATCATGTATCAGTCATTTGGATACTGATTTGATACATTTGGCATCGTTGAGATATGCGTATGAGTGAAGGATCACGTCGGTGTTTTACCAGCTGACTGTTTTCTTCTGTGTCGTGATGATAGTGTTTGTGTTATAGTAGTCGTTAATGTGTTAGACGGTATGACACTAAGTACGCATTTCACACTGAACGCTAATGGACGGGTTAGATGAATATATGCGTATTAACTTCATAAACTTCAACACGATAGAATAATTTGTGATTGTATTGATAACTGTACTAACACAAACATTAATTAAAAGTGTGATATATGCTCATATGACTTATGTTTTATATCACATACATATATGCACACACCATGGGAATCTTGACTCCGAACCAACGATCAATGGATCCTGGCATGCCTAAGAAAGGCCGCCACATGACTGAAGGAAAGACAACCATCCTGATGATATGAACATACATACTGGTACAAGGCATCAGTAAGAGGATAATTTTGTATATCATCAAAACTCTCTGCCTTTCCGACGTCAAAGCAAACAAAAGGAATTCTGTCGCCTTAAAGAAATAACTATTTACAAAATTTCCACTCAGGTGAGGTTTATCCTATGCATGCTATAAACAACTGGAAACTGTAAGTCTGATGTCACTGTCCATCTGTATGTCCTGCGTTCCCATCGCACTCGCGCATTTTTCCATACTGGTGTGAACAGAGTAGAAGTTTAGTATTATTGACAAAGGGACACCACTCTGCATTGCCTTTAGACGACCTAGACGATCCCATTGATGTCAGTGTGAGTACAGTTTCCAGGTTGTAAAGCTATGTGTTTTAATTAACCCTCCACGTACAGATAGCTGACACACAAGTAACATTTATACAGAAATAGAGGCCAGGTCAAAGTACACGAGTCTACAGAGATATTGTGGGTTACTCCCAGATGCGTTATGTCATGTATGTTCGACAAGGTGATACAAATATACATAAACAAATAAGGTGTCATGTGATAAGATTAGAAATATATACTTTGCACATACCTTCTGAGGCTCCAATCGGTCAGACACAAATCGTTGCTACAGTCGTCGTGTGTGACCGAGTCGCTCAACACGGAAGTAAAATACAAGGCCATGTTTACATGTATACCAGTCGCTTCAAACTAGTTCAGTAGTGGCGGCTAAATATAGCCGAGTCACTCTCTGGCATATCAAGGAAGGTTTAGTGTTACATACGAGAGTTAGTGGGTTAGCGAGTGGGTGTGTGGGTGGGTGAGTCGGTCAGTCAGTCAGTCAGTCAGTCAGTCAGTCAGTCAGTCAGGCAGTCAGTCAGTGACCCCATCTGTCTAGAGAGCGATGTAAGGTATATAAACTAGTGTCTGAAAGAAACGATACCACCTGTTTGCAACGACATAAAAGAAAAACTAAACAATGCAGAAGTTTAGGATTGGTGTTATGCTTTTGAGAAATCCTTTCACAACATCTGTACAAAAATTTCATTTCAATAAAATCTGTACAACCAATATGACAAGCCTTGAAAGATGGGTGGGGTCGAAAAATGAACATTTCGTTAGAGCACTGATCACAGAAACAACGGGAAATGTCACACCACACGTCTCAAAGTCAAGCCAGTAGCGGGTACGTCCACCGTGAGCATCAATACATGCCAGAACACGCCTACGGACTGATGACGTTAAACGTCTGATGACGTTGGGAGTGATGCGTTGCCATTCCTCGAGGAGACATCGTTCCAAGTCCTGGACGTTGACTGGAGGCACACGGCGACGTCGGATTTGCCGATCGAGGTGGTCCCATAAGTGCTCGATGGGATTCATGTCCGGTGAACATGCGGGCCATGGCAAAACCTGTACGTTGGCGTTGGCAAGGAAGTTCTGTGTCAATCTTGCTGTGTGTGGCCTTGCATTGTCATGTTGGAAAAGGAGTCCACGAGGCTGTTGCTGAATAAAGGGCACAACAACAGGCCGTAGGATGTCATCAAGATAACGCTGTGCATTCAGGTTTCCACGAATTACGACAAGCATCGTTTTGACGTCACCACATATGCCATCCCAAACCCTTAACCCTCCACCTCCAAACGGCCGGACCTGTTGGATACAGTTAGGCGCCAAACGTTCACCAAATCGTCGGTATACAAGCTGCCGTCCATCGTTTCTGAAGATGAGGAATCTGCTCTCATCAGTGAACATAACACGTGCCCAGTCCCGCCGTTGCCAACGTCGAACTCGCCTGGCCCAGATCAGTCTGTTGTTCCGGTGTCGAGGCGTCAGGAGCGGTCCGCGGTAGGGATGACGTGGCCGGATACCATACTGCCGTAGTCTCCTGTAGACGGTCTGTCGACTGATCCTGTGTCCCAGTGATGTAGCCGCCGTGGACGTCGCTGTTACGGTGCGGTTGCTCATGTGTAATACCCGGATGTAACGATCTTCACGGGGCGTGGTTACTCGTGGTCTTCCACTCCTGGGCCTGTCTGACGTCTGACCTGTCTGACGTAACCGCTGCATCAACCTGGTGATAGTGATTCGTGCGCAGCCCAACCTTCTGGCGACGTCGACGTGTGACGCTCCTTGTTGGACCATTCCAACGGCTCTCTCTCTCTCGATGGCTGTCAAACGTGGCATATCTTGTGTTCTTTTTGTTGCTGTGATATCAACGTGTCTGAACAGCCGTTTTATTCAGTTTTTCTGCACGTGCAGAACATGCTAGAGAGGAAAATGTCACTTTGACGAAATTTACGTTTTTTCCCGGAAGTGATCACGTGTTCCCGGTATTTTTTTATCGACTATGCTGTGTTTGGGATGTGCAATACGAATTGGCATGTTTTCATACTTGACAATTCACTTAGTAAAAGACAATTTTGAAAATAAGTTGGTATCGTTTCTTTTAGACACTAGTTTATGTAGGATATACCGTCTATTGGTAATGCAAACATAGCACCGACTAAGTACAGCTCAATAATTGCGTCAATATAGACGTTCAGTATACTTCTATTTAATCAAAGTACAATTAGAAATGTTTGTGAAAATTTAAACAGCTTTGATGCTCAGTTATTCAAACGGTTTATGGCTCGCAATATAACAAGATAACGCATTCGTCACAATGCAGTTCAAGGATTACATAATACTAAAACATATACCTTGTGTATACACTCCCCCGTCAAGGTTGGATAAACTGCAGTTCCGATACGGTCAAAATAACACTTGGAAGCTTGTCTTTTTATTCATCAAGTGACATAACTAAACAGCGAAGGACTATCATGATCACCATACACAACAATTGTAGATACATATAGACGTATGGTTTTCAAAACCCATTGTTAACCTTTGTGTATTTTACTTTTTTTATCAGAAAAATTTTCAACTTCATGTAAATATGTAAGATGGTTTTGTGTTGAATCACCGTCTGAGAATCTATTAATTTCCCTTGTGTTTGTTTGTTTGTTTGTTTGTTTGTTGTTTAACGCCGCACTCAACAATATTCCAGCTATATGACGGAGGTCTGTAAAATAATCGAGTCTGGACCAGACAATCCAGTGATTGACATCATGAGCATCAATCTACGCAATTGGGACCGATGACATGTATCAACAAAGTCAGCAAGCCTGACCATCCGATCCCGATCCCGTTAGTCGCCTTTTACGACAAGCATTCATTTCCCTTGTGAGTCAATCAAAGCCAACTACGTGTAAACTGGATCCGATTCCAACCACACGGATAATGCAGTTTTGTGATGTTCTTATTCCTGTCAAAAAAATTCCGAGACAATAACATTGTTTTCTTCAAGTCAAGTTATGATGCGTTGCTCTGTCATCCCCGAATGTTGCCCTGCCATTCATCACGGCAGTCATGAGTCAAGTCAAGTTATGATGCGTTGCTCTGTCATCCCCGAATGTTGCCCTGCCATTCATCACGGCAGTCATGAGTCAAGTCAAGTTATGATGCGTTGCTCTGTCATCCCCGAATGTTGCCCTGCCATTCATCACGGCAGTCATGAGTCAAGTCAAGTTATGATGCGTTGCTCTGTCATCCCCGAATGTTGCCCTGTCATTCATCACAGCAGTCATGAGTCAAGTCAAGTTATGATGCGTTGCTCTGTCATCCCCGAATGTTGCCCTGTCATTCATCACGGCAGCCATGAGTCAAGTCAAGTTGTGATGCGTTGCTCTGTCATCCCCGAATGTTGCCCTGCCATTCATCACGGCAGCCATGAGTCAAGTCAAGAGTGACTTATTATCCTCTGCAGTTCCGTAAAGGAGATGGCAATAATCAGCCACCATACTTGGTGCATTAGTAGGCAGCCCCACGAATACAAACGACAATTCACTACCCCGTGTGTTATTAGATCGTACACTAGCCACCTTCGCTGAACTGAATGCTCTCCACATAGCCTTGTCTGTTGATATACCCGTACAAAACATTATGAATGTGGTTCCGTGTCACCGACCTTGGCTTACAATGTGCACATACAGGCGACTCTCTGGTGTTCAGAACAAGGAGACCAACAAAAGGTTCAATATAACTGTCGACATGATATTCAATCGAATGAATAGATAAGGGGTCCTTTACTAGTTGCAATATTCTGTCTCTTCTGACACCCACAAATTGAATACTATTCAAAACATGTTTACAAAACCCGATGGCTAACCTTCTCGGAAACTTAAAGCTGAAAGGTATAGGATGACCACTCTGACATTTTGAAACCTAGTGGGTCTGTGCTGCAATTTAAAGTAGTTTATGAGAGGTTGTGTATTGGTGTCCTTAAAATTAAAACAAAGTGTGTATGGATACATCATACACAAAATGTAAACGGGAGAGCAGCATCACTTCCGACGTGCACACAAGACCATCCACCTGTATTTTGTTACTCGCTCTGCCCCCAAACTGATAGTCACACCTCCAGACGAGTCTGTCTCTGCCGTACACGGCGCCGTTGATGGTGAGGGTGAAGTTGGCGGAGCTGGGGCAGGAGGTGGTGTAGTCGGGTGGGAGATAAGGGGAGCTGCAGCTACCCTGGCTTACTCTGTATAAAATAGTGCCATTCTGCCACTGTATGTTTGTGTGTGAAGCTTCCCCTGTGTAACATATCAGTGTACACGGTATGTACTATATCTTGTTATCTGGTTGTCGTTTTATTTACAAATTCTGCGTTCAATATATTATGGAAAACAACATTGTGAAAGATACGATCAAACAATAGTATGAATACTCGAGGCTGCCAGCACCGTTTTTTGTTAAGAAATTGATTTGAATTTATGAAAACAAAATGAAAACTTTGAGCACTGTAACTTTATTCCTTTGCTCTAAAACATACTTTTACTCTGGGAACCTTGTGAGGGACACGAGCAAAGTTATTGTATTTTTATCGTGCGTGTGACACTTGGTTGACTAACAACTTATTGTTTTGGGCTTATGTTTTCATAAACCGAAAAGATAACAGGCCACGCCCACTAACACACTTCTGTTTCTTGATTGGCTGCTAGTAGATAAGGCTAAGTTGTGTTTCATTGTCACCAGTTTCGAACTGTTGTCTGCCGTTTAACATTGTCAAATTATCTATTTATGAGACTTGACTTCAACATGACTACAATTGCGTTAATAGCGTTTCAAACGAAAGAAACACCATGCACTCGATGTGGACTTGTCCGACGGATTTTATGTTAATGCCTGCTGCTTATAAATGAATAATAGACCATAATGAATCATAGAGTTTCAGCTGCTAATAAATAAGAGAAAATGGTTGTGAAACTGGATACTTTTGTAACATAGTAGGGGCAATGTCAGTATCTCAGCCTAAACATTTCTAATACTGAGCTTATGATGAAACTCGAGCATTTTAGTGCACCAGCAGAAACATCGACCCAGTATATATTTACGCAAGGACATGTTATATTCTTCTGTCAGTATGCGACCTAGTGACCCACTTACCCTGAATTCGTGTCTCTCATTGCCTGGCGGGTGGTTGTACAGGAGGTTATTCACCTTCAGTCGTCGCCCACAAATCTCAAGTGTCTCCTTTAACATTGACTAAACTCCATTCACATGGGTTTCGAATATCTTCACAAAAGCCAACAACTGTCGTCTGACGCTATGCAGGCTTGCTGCCTTCCTTACAAAATAACCATAAAGCATGTTCAGTAATGTAATTTATTCACGTGTATGGCAGAGGTACAGTATTATTTGTTGACCGGGTGTACATCATAAAATAAACATCAAGATATGGGTTAAACAATTTGGTCAATTATTATACAATAAGTGTTCGTCAATTCATCTAAAACGTCTTAATCAGCTTAGCTGTTGAACCGTTTCACTGACATCTTGACAGCAGGCAGATGACACCCAGATCTTGCCATTACACTTGCATATGACGGTGTTCGATTTCGAGTGAATATAAACATATCATTGTATTCGCCTTGGTAAGAAGTTCGGCATTTCACAGCGGGGTATACGAAACAAATACCTTATCAGTACACGCACATACCAGTAACCAATCAGAGAGGGTTTTTTATTGCAAGATAAGACACCTGAGATTGTTCATATGTCGTTAACTGCAGCTGTTTAAGTATTAGATTAGAAGTATTACATATGGTGTACACACCAGCATGGAATGTAAACTCGAAGTTATCACTGTGAACATGAACGACAGGATAAGTGCTGATTTTAAACTTGATTTTATCATATTGTAGTTCAACGACTGTCAACATGTACATTGTCCTCTATTGTGTGTATGTGTTTAAAGTGCTGAGGAAACTGTATTCAAAAAATATTGTAGTTCAATGAGGAAAACTAGATGCAATGCACATACTGTCCACATACACATTGTCCTCAAGTAGGTGTATGTAGAGAGTAGTTTCCTGTCCATGCAAGTTGTTTGGAAAGAGAACAATACACGCGTTATAGAATGAGTGAATGATGGAAGCCATTGAGACAAGTAAACAATTTAAACAGTTTATCAGGATACATACGTATATGCATACAAAGTGCTCACAGTCAGGAACTAAAAAGACGAACTTGTATATTTGCTAAATCAAAGTTTTCAATTTTGTGCAGGCGAAGGAATGGTGTAAGCAGATATGAATATGTAATATGTAGTTTTTTGTTTTGAGTAGGTTGCCAAATCAATGATTCTCTTTTATGATTAACATTATTTCCATTTATTTAACTGTACCAAACCTCAGATTGTGATTTTACATAGGTATAATTTACTGACAAAACAGAACAAACTCTCCGACTCCTGGGGTAGACACTTTGCATTTTCATATTTTTTTCGTTATGATGAGAAATATATATTACTAAATGAGTCATCGTTCTATAACTTATTTCATTAGAAACGAGTTCATTACAAAACGTGAAATGTTTCATATTATGATATTCAACGCTGAAACGAGAAAGACGTTATCTGTGTAAGGGAGGCGTAGGCCATAGGCTGGTCAAAAAGTATGGAGATTTCTCCGATATCGATTGTAAATAAAGCGACGAAGCCCTTTTCCATATCCAAAAAAAATCTCTTAACAAAGCAGAGTCGAGTGTATAATTCCGACCACGTCATGACCAAGTGTTTATGAATCACTATCAAAAAGTGATGATACCAGGTGTTTGCGAAAAGGTGAGCATATCCTGCCCCATCGTTGGCACCCGTCACAAAAACATGCAAAGGCAAGTCAACTTTCACCTGAAAAAAAACATGGGAACGATAACATGTCGATTTTCAAACCATAACCATAACAGCATTCATATACATTCACATCATCAAGTTAAAAATATATGAATTGAGCGGAACATATAGTGTCACATAGGGTTTGAACAGCGAGAATCAGTGAAACCATTGACTCATCGAATCAAATGTCATGTTGCCTATTTTGATTTAAAACAAGTCAGCAGATTGTACCTTTGAGCTAGACTATCTGTCCTTTTTGGAGCACGATAGTTTCACGACACGAAATAGATCTGTTAATTGACACGATGGCGACGTTATTCCAGGATCTCACATACTCCTATAATATGTCCATAATACATTAGTGAAATGCATTTGTAGTGCGCTATGTATCTGTGGTGGTTTGTGAAAAATAATAGTGTTCATCGGAGGTACAGAGACGTTGGATAACACTGTTCAATAACGGTGTATTGTTGTTAAATGGGTTATCTCTTCGCGATTGAGTAATAATATGTTTTACTCAATAACTCACTCACTCACTCACTCACTCACATTACCGTCTTCAGCAACCCATGCTTGCCATAAAAGGTGACTATGCTTGTCGAAAAAGGCGACTAACGGGATCGGGTGGTAAGGCTCGCTGACTTGGTTGATGCATATCATCGATCCGAATTGCGTGGATCGATGTTCATGATGTCAATCACTGGATTGTCTGGTCCAGACTCGATTATTTACAGACCGCCGTCATATAGCTGGAATATTGCTGAGTCTGGCGTTAAATAACAAACCAACAACAACACTCACATTCCAAAGCGTACCAACCCATCCAAAACGCACCCACCCACGCATTTAAGCACTCACTCACCCATCCACCCACGCACTCACTCAACGAGCTCAAATGTTTCTTAAAATTTGGCTACATAATGTTCGCGGCGCGGCAGATAAGTGTGTGATCGTTCATGTAATTCGCATCCACCCTTGATAAGCATCACCTCGATGATCTCATTGAGCGCTACTGTTCTGGTAGGGCGACGCTCTGATGGCCTCGTAGGTCACCGGGGGCGTCTCAGTCATGCCTTCGTACGTACTTGTTTCTCCTTCGTCACCAGCTGCAGATGTAAATGCCATAATTGCTGCATTTGCAAATATTTCCTTTTCTCATTATGACAATCAACCTTTGTACTGTCTTCCAACAAGTGTTACATTTATTTCACAGGATATTAAACAAAATAGTAAAATGATCACTAAATCGTGCTGTGTTATAAGGACAGCATAGTATTAGACAAAGTAGTATGATAAGAGTAGGTGTATGCATTTCTGATAACTGTGAAATATCACCTGATAATGAAAATCTACCGTTTGTATTTTCATATATCTTTAGCTGTGAGTAATGGGATTTGTCTGACTCCTTCTTCTTCAAGCTTGAATCTTGTTGTGGTCCATTGATGTGATCTGAAGCAAATCGTGACATGGCCATTGTATAACATAAATGCATACTTGAGTGGATTTTTGACTGAGTTGTACATTATTTTTGTAAATTGTTTGACGTGCATGCAGTGGCCTTTATTTGTAAACGTTTGGTCACTGCAATACTGACAAGTGAGGCTGCTGTCCACATACCTAAGGAAGAATACCCAATGTTGTCCATTTCTGCGATCTCATGACTTCTGCTGCTAGAATAAAAAATATCATATTCGGTTATTTAAAGTGCAGAAAGAGACGATCATTTTGTTCAAATACTATTTACAGTTTACTTTACTTTACGAATTCGTACCATATTATAAAATGGATTATTTCATGTTTTATCATGTGTATACATTACCTTTCTCGCGAAGCAGTTTCTGAAAGTATAAGAAAATAACTAGTATGCAGGTCGTATGCTGTATCTAATCTAGTGCCGCAGATACTAATGTCAGTTTACTATGAAAAATCTTCAATTAGCTTTACCTAATGACATTGTTTGTAGATAATACGGTACTTATGGATTATACACACAAACGAATTTTGTGGCTGCCTAACTACTCCAATTAATCATAATACAGTGGAATATATGGTCCAGACACAATTATTTACTAAATGCTGTAACAAAGCTGAAATATTGCTGAGGGCAGCGATAACCAACCAATGTACAAACAAGGCACACTGAAGCACAATGTTGAGTGCTTCCCGTGGCCGGCCTGACTGCTGAATAAGCTTCTGTCCATACGATATTGACAAACATCATAATGTCATTGCAAAACGACAGCAGGTTCGGTATGTCTATGTGCCATGAGTTAGAATCAAAATATAAAACATGATCAGAACAAGTATAATTTAAACAGATGTCTCAACTGAAACAGTGCTATATACTAAATACAGCTGATTTGGTTTCATAACTGGAACTGCATTACTACATAGCTTTACGGTTATGCTGTCTAAGAATGTTACATGTAAAGTACTGAGGTGTGGGGTGGCTTAACGTTTTGAATCTTCCGCTGATGACATATTTTCTGTTTTACACAATTTCTGAAAAAACACAGTTGGTCTTATCTGAAGATATTTAACAATTTTCTTTTTAACAATAACATGCATTAATATGTTAAATTAAAGATACATTTATGTATGAACATGATTATAACTTTTATTCACTGTGTCTTTTGAATGTAAATATTAGTTCAACAATCCTACTCGCAACACTGCTACTGGTTAGCATTATATACTAGTAGATGATTAAAGTTTTCTTTAGATATCTCTCTGACTGTTTCCAATTCGGAATCCTTTTCTGTATAGCAGCATTAGAACAATTCCTTCGATGAGTAAAGTAAGGAGAAGGGTTCCTATCGCAGTTCCAGCAAGTATTCCACTATTTACAGCCTCGAGATCTTTGGTATCGGTTGGAACTGCAAGAGTATTAAACCAGTTTATGAAACAATACAGATCTGATAGGAATGTATTAAATGATCATCACTGTTGTCAGAAGAGCAACACAGATTGTTTATAATCGGTCATTATACACATAAAAGTCACACTGTTACCTGGATATGATGCTGCGATATCGTTTTTGTTTATCAAGTTATGTTGCAATTCTATGCATTTCGTAAAAACAACTTTTTAAATGTTTTATAAGCATTCTTAATCACGCTTTCAGGTTCATAGTCATTTCGAGCATCTAGTCGGAATATGTAAGTAGTTCCTGGTGTCAAGCCACCCACTTCCACCACCATCATCCTGCCGGTATCATAGGTATTGTACACAGTCCATTTAGTTGAACAATACTGCCGATACTCAACTACAAATGTCTGGGGGTGTCCTCCATTGAACTCAGGTTGCCATGATAACCATAAAGATGATGCTGTGGCGTTTCCACTAGTTCTAAAGCGTGTTGGTGTCTCAGGAGAGTCTGATACATGCAAATACAAGAATCATGAAATACGTTGTGAATGCATGGATACCAGAATGAACTGCTGACACATCCTATTATTACATCAATTGTGTATAACACAAGTACTTCTACAACGTTGTCCCTTGTAAAACTTCAGTCCCTGAAGTCCTATTGTTTGATGTTAGTATGAACTAGTCTTGTAGAATGTCTTGATAAAATGGATTTATATCAAAAATAAATAAATTACCAAATGAACAATAAGACACTAATTGAATAAAGTAAAACCATCCATCAAACACGTTGCTTTTCAGCTAAAACATAAATCCGAAAAAATGGATACCAAAATAAACTGCTGATCCCTCCCATTATTACACCAAGTGTTCATACGGCGTTCGGAAAAATGTAAAGTGTTAGTCCCCGAAGTCCTTTGTTTTATGTTTGTATGAAATACTCTCGAGGTAGGTCTAGATATAATAGATTTATATCAATATTCAAAAACGTACCTTCATACACTATGTTGATTGTGTATGACACTGACCCCTCGATACCATTGTCCACTGTAAGACTGTAGTCCCCAAAGTCCTGCTGTTGTAGGTTAGTAAGCTGTAGTCTGGCAGTGACCGAGATGGCGGAGACAGGGATTGAGGAACCAGTGAGGTCCTGGCTGGTGCTGGTGATTCTACTCCAGGTGAATGTTGGAAGGGGGTAGGCCAGGACTGACACAGTCACATTCAAGTTACCACCCAGTTTAGAGGCGTACTTGAGTTCCTTGGACACTGACTGATCTAGTCGAGGAGAACCTAATAGAAATAGAAGCTCACAATGGCAAAGTTTATGTATTACCAAAATATAAACATCTTCTGCACCTTGAAATAATGGGTCATGTAAGCATATCACGGTTTTCTCATTTATTCCTTGGACAGAGCCACTATCAATCTTTTACGTTGTTTATGCAATTATAGTAGGTATTAATGTGCTTACATGTAACAATCAATTCCACCTTTCTTGTTACCATTTCACCAGTCATAAGTTTATTGTCAGCTGTGCAAGTGTAGTTTCCTCTGTCCCTGCAATCTGCCGTCCAGTTGTGATATACCTCAAGAGCTTTGTCGATCGTCTTTAATTCACTGCTCCCGTTCATCAGCCTGATGGTCGATGCTGGGTTACTGTCTACTCGACATCCTAGGTTCACAGATGCAGTCTCCTCCACGGTCACTCTGTTGCTTCTTGAGTTAATTGTGAATGTGTTTATGATGGGTGGGTCTGGAATCGTTGAGAAATCAAACGTTGAACATAAGCAAACTGATAGCTGTATATAAACACATTCATGTAATACAACACTTCATACACTTAACATATCAAACAAACCATAGTGTGTGCACATATAAAGTGTAACGTTAAAGTTGCTTTATTATACATATGTATTCGTACATTGCACCAATTTGGGGAATCGAAACTTGGTCCTCGGCGTGACGAGCAAACGCCTTACCATCATGCAGATATTGTGTGTTTTTAAGTGAACTTATCCATTGGTGTATTCCTCTAAACAAATTACTGAATGAGCATGCTATCCTGACACAATAAGCAGTCAGTCAGTTCAACCTTAAGCTCAACTTCCTCTTTATCCCAAAAGTAAATGCAAACAACAAATGCACGGTTGCATAGCACTTGCACAGCGTTCTTATATATGTTCATTTGAAAGCAGCACTGTTTAAAGGGAATATTATGCATAACTTTTTGCTAGTGAATATACAATCACAAAAATACTTCACAGTTGTACTGGCATATTTTTCTTAGTGGACTTTTTTTATTTCAAATCGGCAAATCTATCTTCTCTAGATGAAACAAGCAGCAAGCGATTGCAGCAACCTGATACGATAAAAAACGTATGCCAACAGAAAACATTAACGTTAACAAAAAAACAACCTGATCCAGTAACATAATATGTTCGTAAATGTTAGTGTTCTCTCATTGCTGACTACCAGAAAGAATCTTTCCATTTGGACAAACACTGCTACTCACACTGCACATCAACGTGGAACTGCCCAATGGCTGATCCTGTTTGTGGTTGTCCGCCTGTTGGTGTGAGAGTGTTGGATGCTGTACAGTTGTAGACACCTGATGCTGTCCTGATGATGCTGGTGATGTTGAGGACAGGGCCACTAGAACTGTAGCCTGGTCCTGTCCACCTGTAGTTTGTAATAGTGGGGTTGCCGTGGACGGTGTAGCTCTTGCAGTTGATGTGTAGTGCTGTTGTCTCTGTCACAGGGTACGTGGATGGAACTCCTGACATGGATGGGCCGTCTGGACAAGTACAAGTATGTTTATGGCTAAACTTATTCAAGCGTAAATGCATTTTCCAAAATACACACTGCAATGCTTTTAGCCCCATTTCACATCTTGTCCAGATTTTGAAACATAATCGGAGAATAATAATCATCATTGGGATGCTCAATCCAAACGAAACTCTTTTCGAAAGTCAAACTACCTCAATCTTCAACGCAAGGTTATGATGTCCATGCTATGCACAAGTCTAATTATACGGTTTGCATGCACGTTGATATAAGTATTGGATAAAAACTCAATAATACCTACAATAATTAAATCAACAGTAAGTGTGAAGAGATATGCTGACACTGACAACACACTGAATAACATTTACCCTTCAAAGTGTGTCGAAACATCAATAAGTATGGTGACTAAGAAAGTACATGCATTATTCAAACACTTACTTATTGCAGATCTACTGTCACTTCCACAGAGTCAGATCTCATTACAGATGTCCCCCACAAGGGTTGGGGGTGTTGATAGCTCTGCACACATATGTCCAGTATTCTTACAATGATACTTACACTGCACATCTACTGTCATCTCCCTAGACTCAGAGCGTGGTAAAGCTGTCCCCCCACAAGGACTGAGGGTGTTGGTAGCTGTACACACATATGTCCAGTATTCTTACAATGATACTTACACTGCACATCCACTGTCATCTCCCTAGACTCAGAGCGTGGTAAAGCTGTCCTCCCACAAGGACTGAGGGTGTTGGTAGCTGTGCACATATACGTCCCTGCCTGTGATCTCTGTATGTTACTGATGGTCAGAGTAGATCCAGTCTGAGGAGTAAAGCTGCTGTCATCTGTCTGTGTCCATCTCACAGCTGCTGCAGGGTTGGAGTCAACAGAGCAGGTCACAGTCAGGGTCTGTGTCTCGATCACAGTTTGGGAGCTGGGAACTGAGACACTGGGTGGGTCTGAAAATAATAAAGCAACGTACACTGTAAACTTGAGTAAGTAATTGACACTATTCTGATAAATATATAAATGACACTGTTGGAAGAATCATACAGGCTACAGGAATGTAAATATTCATTCTACTTAATTCTCAAGATACAAATACATGTGGTCAACACGCGTCTTCTGTGTTCCTAACGAAACGTGTTTATCCAAATGTAGTTTACAATCTCGATTCAGATTGTTACAACATATGAAAAACATGTTTCATAAGGATGTATTAGCAATAAGCAATTGCCTGGCAGAACAGGGCATTGAAAGATGAATTGTCAATCGAAAGAGGAATAAAAAGGACGCATAGGTTCAAACATTTACTGGACATACACTCGTCATTATTAAAAACTCTACACATCGCTGACTAGTCAAGATGCTTGCATCCGTAATTTAACCATTTTTAAAAGCAATTTAGACTTAGAACTGACGTTCTGATATTTTGACATTTGGATGCTGTTTTAAGAATAATTAAAAGTGCAATTACTCACATTGTACATCAACACTAATCCCTGCAGAACTTGACGTCCCCACTGAGTTCCTGGCAGCACACGTGTAGTTCCCTGCACTGCCCCTGGTGACAGAACTCAGGCTGTACATGCTGCTTGTTGCTAACGGGATCCTGGATCCATCTCTTGTCCAGCTGTATGACGTCACTGTCGGGTTAGCTGCCGTCACTTGGCATGTCAGTTGGACATTCTGTTGACCGACATACACTCTGTATGGTCGACATCTTGCCTCTAGGTTGACATCAGGTGCATCTGTGTACAGATGAAGTAGAGTATATGAACAGATATCAGCTGTTGACCGACATACACTCTGTATGGTCGATATCTTGCCTCTAGGTTGACATCAGGTGCATCTGTGTATAGATAAAGTAGAGTATACGAACAGACAGCGGCTGTCGACCTACAGCGACAGCCTGAGGATGATACCTCTTGATTTATACTTTTTAAATTTCATGTATGAGGGTATAAATATTGAGTGAAAAAACTTTCTGTTTATTGTATTGGAGTGATTGTGTAAGTCTATTTCTCATAGTACATGGCTATTATCTAAATATGGCACTATATACGTGACAGCGGTTCGACACAATTGCTATACACGGCTTTTTAAGTCACATTTTCTAAATGAAGTCTTTCTAATGATATCATCTGTGTTAGCTTTCCTCCTAGGTCACTTACAATACACTGTGACTTTGAGTGTTGGAGCACTGGACGTCACCCCAGTGGCCGTGTTGACAGCAGTACAGATGTAGTCTCCTGTCTGGTTCCTGGTGATGCTGGTCAGACTGAGTGTCCTACTGCTGGAGACTGTCTGTGCCCCTTTCTTCCAGGTGTAGCTGCAGGGTT